GACAGTTCTTTTTAAAATGGAGGAGTTAGTAAAAATCATTTGCTTTTAGGCTAGTTATTAATAAATCTCATCCCCCCAAAAAGACTTTTCAACACACTTTCAGCCACCAAGATTAAGAAGTGACTGACAAGAAACACTAAAAAGTCTGGAACGCCTGCTAGTAAGGACTAAGACAGGTACCCTTCTGTAGCACTGACTAGAATGTAAAGTTGGTGAAATTTATACAGACTTAGTAATTCTATCTCAATACAAATGCCCATACCCTGTGACCCAGCAACTTCACTTCTAAGAATCTGATGTACACTTTGTACCTGTGCAGAGTGAGCCCTATACAAGTATGTTATTTGAAACACTGTTCAAGGAATTGCAGAAGACAGGCAACAACCTAAATGGTTAAATAAAATTTGCTATTTCCATGTAACAAAATATGAGGCAGCTTTAAAAATTACAAGGAAGCTGTTGATAAACCAATATGGAACAATCTCCAAAATATATTATGTGCCCAAAAAAGGAAGATGTAGTAGGTTAGTTCTTTTGTTTAAAAAAAAAAAAGGAGGGAAAAGAATATGAATTTACGTGTGTACATAGATACACACACATCTGTACATACATAAAATTCTTGGTAATGTTATTTGCCTCCTGGGAGAGGAACTGCTAGTTGGAAGACAGGGTTGGGATGGAGACTTTTCACTATGTTCTCTTTTGCATGTTCTGAACTTCTTAACTATGTGTTGCCCCCCCCCCCCCGAACACACGAAACTGCCCATGAACACCATGACCAGCACGGCTCTCCCGCTTTCCCTCCTCGCTCCAGTTCCAACCTCCGAGGGCTCCATCCTCAAACACTCTGTCCTGAACATCGCAGGGTGCACTTCTCCTCGGGTACTCTTCTAACCCGAGAGGAACACACGGCCCAAACGGCACGCCCTTGAATGGATGGGGTCAAGGTCTAGGTTCCGGAGACGTGAGTCCTGCCAGGCGTTTCAGTTGTGCCTTCCCCTCAGGACCCACAAGACAAGCAGCCGGGGCCCCGGCTTCACCAAACACAAGCCAGCCCACGGCTGCCCCGCGAGGAGCCAGGTGGGGCCCTCACCGCTTTGGTCCGCTCTCTGAGGCTGTTGTCTTCGTAGTGTGGGTGGTTGGTTAAGGTCCGGCCCGTGCACAGCTTGACTCCCGCCAGCAGCTGCATGCTTCCAGCAAACACAGCCTTCCCTGGAGTGTTAGTGCTAAAAGATTTTAAGAGTCTGAATTAACCTCACTGCTATGACCTCCACGAAGACAGTGCCCACACACTCAGGATGACCCGGCTGTGTTAAGAAAGGCTATGTATGAGTTGGGAAAAACAAGAGACTGCTGTGATTCTGATCTGCGCTCAAGCTGTTCTATGAAATTTTTCCTATCTGATTTTGATAATGACTGGGAAGTTTCTGATTTACTGTTTTGATGGGTTTACTCTTACAATGAATTGTCTTAGGATGTGGCTAAACTTCCTGAGTCTTCTAGGCTCAAGCCCACAACCCTCTCCTGCTCCTATTCCAAAGGGACAGCTTCTAACAAGAGGCCTTAGAAGACTGCCAATGCTTTTTGTATTAAACTTAATTAAATGGGCTGCCTAGAGTAAAACAAATTATAACGCTAGAAACTGTAGCTGGCCACGAGTTGATTCCAAGGGTTTTTGGTTAAAACAAGGAAAAAGGATCATAGATACTACTATAAATTACTTTTCAGAAAAAAATAATTGGTTAAAACAAAAGAACACAGGAAAAAGATTCTGAACTAGCAGATATCATACTCAGTATGAAGCTATACAACATTTTTGATGCAGGCCGAAGTATTTTATGTATTCCTCTCCTTTAGTCCTGATTATGAAAGACTGCATGCATCTTAAGGAGTACAGGACATTCTGATACTCAATTACGGTCTCACTTTCCAGTTATCACCAAGCTGTGATTCTCCGCCTCCCCATAGGGTGTCAGGGACAACTGACAGAGGGCCAAGGGAAGACTTCCTGATTACTGTGATACTGTGAAAGCATGTTTTCCTTTTCCCCAGGGAAAAAAATAATCTTAGTCGTTGATTCAATTCCCTTCCATTTTTTAAAACCTGGGAGCTACCTTCAAATCAATGTGGTGTCATTTTATTGTGAAGAACATAACAGCTATTCTATGGACTTTCCTTAATGCAGAATTTCCAGTAAAGGTCCACTTGAGTAGTGCAAGATACACTCACCCTTCTTGTGTTAAAAATGAGTTGATGGCTGCTAGGGTGAGTTAAAATGGACATAGTCTTTTTGAGACGGAGTCTAACTGAAATCATTAAAACTCAACATACACTGCAGAAAAAGCCAGAGCATACCATTCTCAATGTTTTGGACATCAGGGCATGAAACTTGCTCTAATGTTCATTCTAAGAGAAGCCTCATCATATTCATATATTCCATGAGGATGTTCTACTTATTATATTTTTATGCTAAGACTACAGCATGAATGCCACCCAACAAAGGCCTTAGGATGTCTATAAGCAAGGCATTCTACAGCTCAAGCTGAAACACTGACAAATAATATACTTTACAAAAATGCAGTATTTTCTAACACTGACACTCTCGTTCACTTGTATTCCAATAACCTTTCTTAAAGTGATAGAATTACAGTGAGCACCCAGGGAATGACACAGTCTGTACCCTCCCTTATTCCCGTTGGACGCCAGAATGGATTACAAGAGAAAAACTTTTACATGAACCTGGCTGTGCTTCACAGGATATCATCATTCTGACAACCAGATCCAGGAACACAGGCATAAATACATGTCTGCTCTGTCCCCCTTAACCAGCAATTTATAAGAAATTCTTGACATGTGTCCCACATGATCAGGGAAATAGGAGAGTTTAAATGAAAAAGGGTAAAGGTGCATAGAGTTCCTTAGTGAAAGATTATCTAAAAATTCAGCTTAATTCAATGAATATTTACTAAATGCTCAGTCTGTGCTATATATACTGTGCTGCTCTCATTTATAGTGTATCATAATTGCTAAAGAGAATAGATATGAACAAATAAGATGAAAGAACATGTCATCATTTTTCCAAATCTGTCTTCTTTCCTTCTATATACTCTTAACTGGCACAAACCATCCTACTGCAAGAAATTATACAACCAATGCCACAAAAACGCCGTCTTTGGGTCCTCTGAACCAAAGAGATTTAGAATGCAGGGGGAAGATGCATCTGGTCTCCGTGTTTGGCAAAGCACGAGGTCGAGGTGAGAACTAACAGAGACAGAACAATCCTGGTCTGTATAGCCTTACTGAAACACAGCAGCTGAGCTGACAGTATTCGCTCAAATCTTTAGGCTGTCTGAGTATCATCATTTTGAATATGCAACGGGATTCAACATCAGGGAGATGCACAGGGCAGTTTGTAATGTTGGCCAAGATAGCTGGCCTGTTATCTGTTCATGGCTAACGAACAAGGCTTCTTTCCCCTTCCTGGGCTACCATCATAATACTTGGATGAGTTATACAGTTCACAAAGGTTTAAAAAGTCAAAAATCCTAAACTGCTTGCTGGGGAGTTACAAGGTTCTACTTGCTTCAGCCAAAAGTTATTACTGAGAACCTACTATGTGCTGGGCTGGTATGATACCCTGTCTTCAAGAAGCTTACTGGTTGACAGACTCAGCTCCCACCACAGGCAAACACTTCAGAACAACCCATGACTAGTCCACCACATATTGACGACTGTCTTTTGTGGGCCTGCGGCTGTGCTGGAAATGGAAAGCGGCAGGATCGTGGCAAACACGCCTCTCCCCTCTGAGAGCACCTGCCGTCCCTGCCACCCCGCTGGCTACGGTCCCCACGGCAATAGCAGCCTCACCAGGAGAGCAGGTCAGGTCACATGAGCGCTTAGAGGCGGTGAGGAAAAGTGGGATGAAGCTCATTTGATTGTGACAAGATTTTAATGTTTGGCCTCATTAGTAAAAGAGTCAGAAAGTTTAAAAGAAATGTAATCCGTCTCGACTGCAGGGCTACAATCCTCTGGATTCTTAAAGAGTCTTTCACTAAAGGTTCTGGTTTCATTTTCAGCAAAGTACAAGTACCCTAATGCCTATGAAATAGATTTAGATATAATAATTTCTTTGAAAACGACTGACTTCCAAGCATACTAAAGATGCTGTTTATTGACGGGATTGTTTGACTTGGTTTTATGTGCTAGCTCTGTGGTAAATCTGGGACATTTAACTGCTCCCTTAAATATTTAATTTTACCCATAAAGCAAATGCAAAAGTAAAACAAGCAAAGTGAAACAAAATGGAAAAAAAAACACACGTTTTTCTAAACTTTAAAAACCTAGGTTCGAAGTATTTTATGTTTCCTGTGGTAAGCTCGGTGGGCAAAGGGAGCTGGGGTTCTTTGTCTTGACTTAAAATATGCAGCATGACAGATGGAACGATGGGTATGCTTCCTTCACGGACACTTCTGCTGACACAGTCTGCGGTCTGTGTCCAAAATAGCTAATGTGCTTTTAACCATTGAATGACACTTCTCTATTATAGAAAAACAAAGCAATTTTTACCAATGTTTGAACAAATGATGTATAAAATGAAAGAATAATTTGTTTTTATAGCTCTCTGCCAAGCTCCATAGCAGGCTGCCCAACCTGCAAACAATTTATTCTGTAAGAAATGTCACTAAATAATGACAAGGACTCACAGGTCAAATGGATTTACATTATATAATTTAAATGTCATTCCAGGAAGACCTGATGGCATTTTTAAACAAATAATCTCATTTATTTTTGAAGCTCTAAGCTTCAACAAGTTAATTACTGTTGAACTAATGGGTAAACTGAGCATTATAATATAACGTGTGAACATTTGCTTTATCTACACTTCAAAAATTTATAGAATTATGCAAATGCCACAAAATGATTCATTAAATATAAAAGAGGCTCATTGGCATTTAAGGTCTGAACTTAACCTACATCATATTTAAAATATACTGTAATTCTTTCTGCTTTGATTAAATGTGAAGGAAGTCTGGTCCATTTTTTCAGGCCCATTGAGAAAATATTGCACATGAAGGCTTCATCACTGGAAAGAAACTATTTCTAGTGAACATCTCCTATAGCCAAGTAGGTAAAATGTCACACCTCAAAACAGTCAGTCTATCTGAATTGCACAATGTCCAAGAAATGTTTCAGGAGCCAAAAATGAAACACTCTTAAGTATGCAAAGGAACAAGGTATGGATTACCAATTGCTGTGACATTTGGCCTTGAAGTAAACGTGCTTTCTAGTCACACATAAAACCTATAAAAGTTCCACCAGGGTTCTGCTGAAAGAGATACCAGAAAGTAAAACAAAAAAGGCAGGTTTTTAATCTTCATATTCAGGAAAAACATCATTAGCAAAAAGGGGTTAATGTGAACACGTACACTTAAATTTACTGGAAAATAGAGCATGCTGCACCTCAGTATAACATGAAAGGCAGGCATCCAGGCCCGTGAACACACAGCTGGGGCTGTGGAAGGCATGGGGAGATGATGTCCTAGTTCTCACAGGGAAGACGCCGGGGGCCTGACTGCAACAAAGGGTCCTCACTGATTAAAGAAGAATTTAATCCTCGGGCATCAAGCCCTAGCATCAAGTACATGAGGCAGACTGGGAGATGGTGGTAGCTTCTTCTGAACACTTTGCACAAGAGTTGCCCCATGCTGAAATAGAGAGTCATTTGTCTTCCTGAGTTTCTTCAGGTCACTGTTTCTTGTTCTGACTCATTCTAGAGGCCGGGCAGCCATCCGGCAAGGGGAGCTGTGCCCTGACCCCAAAAGATGCTGTCATGCCCGCCCTGACAAAGGACAGATGTGAGCGTATCACTCTGGCTGCCTGAGAGCAGGAGCAGACAGGATGGAGAGGAGGCGTCTCTCAGCAGCAGTGCTGGGTGGGACCGGAGGCCCAGCTGCTGCCTTCAGACAATTCCAAACAGGCTTTCAGATACACTCCATGAATCCTTAGCCCACAGCCTTTCCTCCAGCTCAGCTCAGACCTACTAATGTCACCAACACTGTGTGATTAGTCAAGGTAGTAGAGTCAAAGGAGAAGGTCATAGTTTATGTTAAAAAACAGAAGAAATCAGGACAGGTTAAACGAATAGTAAAGTGCATCTGCTTGTGTTTGGAAATGAAGCCTAGACCAGAGCTGATTTAAATGTTGATTTAAACAAATGCATTTTGTGTCTAAACAGACCCTATTTTGACATACATTCATCATCACTTAAGCTTATTTCACAAACATGCCTAGCAGCTATTTTTGCAAAAACAATAATTTAGATTTGAAGACTTTGAAGGGAAAACAGGCAAGATTAGATCACAATGGAACCATTTTTGGGGGAACAATACAAATCCTTCAGTTGCTGAGATTTGTAAAAAGTGAAAAGAATAAGCCTACATACAGGGAGAAGAACTGTTAATAGAAGGAGAATGTAAGAACAAAGCCCACTTTCCCAAAAGCAGACTAAAAGATTATCTTCTTTACACATGGAATAAACTCTCGTCCATAATTTTTCAGAACCACAAATGTTATTTTAAATAACCTCTGTGAGCAAAAGCATGAAAATAAAGGCATTACAATAAGTATATCCTGTCTGACATAGCCAGAGGTAACTCCACTAGAATAAAATCTTAATGACACTACAATTAATTCCTAAAAGATTGGGAAGTGGAGGTGGGATGTTTATAATGCCAATCCAAGTAGATCCAGAAGGTATGCCTCCTTTGGGACTCTATCAGAGTGGGCACCCTACACCACTCCTACCCATGGTGCAATTTGAAAAACAGAAAAATCAGCCTCACCTTCAGATGCGCACGTCATAAATTTCCAGTTGATTGCAGCTAATGCAAAAGTAATTAGCTTTTCTTTATATGAATAAGCCTTTTTTCTCTTATACAATAAATACTGAAGGAATTATTTACTCTATAATAGTCTGCCATGATTTAAAGTTAAATAAATAAATAAAGATAAAGCACTGCTTCATACACTCAGCACTGGAAATAAATGAAAAATTATACTCATTGCATCTAGTCAAATCTAGTCCAACATTGGGACCAAAGCCACATATATATTTTAGATACAAATCTCTATAAAACCCATGTATTGTACTCAAGAGGCCCAAGCTATCAAACATTTACCATCGCTTAATACACAAGCAGTGCTAAACTGTACTGGTTAGTAAACATCAGTCACGAGCAAGTGCCAATATGGTTACTAAAATTCTAAGTGATGGAGACAATACAGCCAATGCTTTCAGAATATGTCACTTAAGATTTGCAACATCTATTTATGTGTAAATAATGACACTGCTGCTTTCTGGCTATAAAATAGGGAAATACAACATTACAGGGCACGAGAATGCTGCTTGGAGTAAAAGAGTTAATTTTTGCTGGTGGGAGGTGGGTTTCATTAACGAAACTTTGAAAAACATGAATCTCATTCTGCTGCGGAATGCTGAGGTGAAGCAACCGTGCAGGCAAAAGTAAAAACCAATATAACATTGAAAGCATTATGATGTTCGCGGAAGGAAAAGCTCTAGCTTTTGTATTTTAAATTTTCTCTAGGCCTAATCTTGGGCAATATGATCAGTTAAAATGAAGTCTGTACTGAGCTAACATGACTCTAATTAACTGTAGTTTACTGTATAATTTTTAGATGATTAACAAGGAAAGAATACTTTATGTGTCAGTATTAATAGAAAATTTGAATGCTATTAAAGTGAAAGAAATGCTAAAGATAAAACTGGCAGAGAACATAAAACTTTATTTCCACTGCTGTTGCTGATCTGAAACACATCCTCTGATTCTGTTTCCCCTCTCTATACCAGTACTTCCCCTTCTTCACAGGCCTGTGGTTAGAGAGGACATTTCTTGAATGGAAAGAAATTATTTTCAAGTATAAAATTTTAAAGAAAAAATTTGAGAATGAATGTATCTTCATAATTAGATTCAGAAAGAAAAAACCCAAAAAACCAAAAACCAAATGAGGCCTACAGTGACTCTTAAAAAAGGCACTTTAATTTTTAAAGGTTAAAAAAAAAAAATCCTCTTACTTAATCCAGTTCATCAGCTCCACTGTATCTGGATCATAGAATTCTCTCAACTCGGAGAGTTCATCCATCATTCCTGGCCAGAACTGAAATTAAAAACAAAACTAAACAAAAACAAAATCCACCCCCAGACCCACAACTATCACTAAAATTAAAGTGAAAAAGGAGAAACTGCATATAACTTGTGAACTACGTAAACTCAGTAACTGGAATAGTAGAAGTCCTTCACCTCTGAGGTCAACCCTTCTAAGTGTAAAGTGAGATAAAGTCTGAGAAAAGTTCCCCAAATCATTTTGAGCTGCAGCTAATTAGAAGTACTGGTGTTGCCAACTTTAAAAACTGAGCTTTTATTTTACACTAACAAAAATGCTGTTGTATGTGTCTTAATATCTAGTAAAACATTAATTTGGATATGATAGGAGTGGCAACCGTGAGAAAGTTCACAAGATATGAGAAAAATGTGACTGACTAACTCATGTATTTATCTCTAAATGCAGAACGTACCCTTTGGAATACAGAATCTCATTTTATCCTCACAATTCCTCAGGGAGAATGATGATGCAGAAGGCATTATTACCATGAATATCTGTTCTTAATTTTTCTAGTTTAGACACCTCAGCTCAGAGAGATAGATAACCTGACTTGCTCAGATCAGACTGGCAGAGTCACAACTAGAAACTTTCATTGTGTGCTATGGTGAGTATATTGTTTGTACTAGAAATCTGGACAAATGGTTTGATGAATATTAATATAATTACAGGTACAAAGGTAGAGAAGAATATTTGAAAGAAGGGTGGTCCAGGAAAACCTGGTATATCTGAGTATTATCTTCATGCCACTGGTGCCTCCTACTCAACATGAGTTACTTAAGCTATGAAAATATAATGCAAAAATACATGCTGAATCCACTGCTTTTGTATTATAAGTTATCTGTTTAATTCAACAATTAATTAAATGTTCATTGTTTTATGAAATGGCAGTTACCTAAAAAGACTTAATCATCTAAATACATGCTAGGGTGAACTACAGAACTCATGACCTATATTGAAACAGAAGCCCAATAATAATGCATCTATACTTCGTTCATGTTGTAAATAGAAATTTTCTATTTAAGAACCATTAACTAGAACCAAAGTGGCACCTGACTGGTCTGTGGCTGTTTTTTTAATCCCCATCACTTTCTTATCTTCTTATCATCTCATCTTTGGCCATTTTTACTGTTCATTCATATCTGGTCTCCTGGGTGGGTAAATCAGGAAAATTGTTGGTGATGGAAAATCAGGTGTCTGCACTACTAATCCTAGGTTTCAGAAGAGATGTAATAAAAATTACTGATTAAATGATAACATTTGTAAGACTTCAATTACCCACTGTCCCTATTAATTTTGATAATAGAATACCAACTTTTAAATGATATTTTAATTATTTTGGTATAAAACATTTTGAAACCTCTGAATTCAACAATTATCAGATATTTTTCTAGTTTGAAAGTTGCTGTTGTTAATTCTGAAAATGTTACAATCTAATAACACAGTCTTAAGGTAAACTTCTTAAACAATGTGTGAAAAAATGCCGAATTAACTAAATGCTGTTGGGTAAAATGATCAGCAGTAGTTTATATGAGACTTCAGATATCCAAGTAAGTGAATTAACATGAGGGCAATGACTTTATTAAACTCTTGATTTTTGAGTGGAGACTAGTACATACTTTTCCCTTTAAAAGAGGATTATCCTAAGCAGACATAGAGCAAAACAGGTATTATTAACAAGAAAATTTGAAATCCTCATTACAAGTGCTATGTAAATAAACTTAAATCAGACTTTGAAATATTAGTTCCTATTTCTTACAGATAAATCTGTTCAATAGTTGGAAAACATTCAGTTTCAGGGTAACTGCTAATATACTTAAAATCTTTATTGTCTTTGTGATTTTGTATTTTACAAGTTCTGAGAAGCTGAAATATGTAAATTAAACTATTTTATACAGTGAAAGCTGGATGCATCAGGATTTTTCCTGAAGTCCAATACTGAGAGAGGCCTGGCCACCTGTCTTTGGAAGGATTCTTCAGAATTACTACTATCTGTCATATGTGTGTGTGTGTGTGTGTGCGCGCGTGTATGTGCACACGCACGCGCACACACACACACACACACACAAATGCATTCAGTCATGTCCAACTCTTTGCAACCCCTGGACTGTAGCCCACCAGGCTCCTCTGTCCATGGAATTTTCTGGGCAAGAATACTGGAGTGGTTGCCATTTCCTTCTCCAGGGGATCTTCCTGACCCAGGGATTGTACCCACGCCTCTTGCGTCTCCTGCATTAGCAGGCGGATTCTTTACCACTGCGCCACCTGGGAAGCCCACGAACTGTCTTACTCAGGATATATCTACAAAGATTTCCTAAGGAAATGATGGCCTTTTCAGTGCTATCATTGGTTCTTCTCTGGCAATGGTTCTCAAGAGGGGTGGTGTTGGCGGATTCAGCCATACTGTAAAGGGACGTTTTGCAGTATCCGTAAGTGTTTTCATTTCTGACAGTCACACCTGGAGGCTGGTGCTATTAGCATGTAGTGGGAAGAAGGTAGGGATGCTGCCAAGTGTCCTAGAACGCACAGGACAGCCCTTAAGTCACAGAATTATCCGGACAAAGTGCCCACAGTGCTGCCACTGAGAAGCCCTGTCCTACCTAGGGGGTTCTCAAGTGTGAGGGTGCGACAGTGCCCACTGGAGGGCTGGTTACACCTGGATCCCTGGGCCCCACTCCCAGAGCTCCTGATGCGCTAGGTCTGGAGCAGGACCCAAACATCTGCAATTCTAACAAGTTCCCAGGTGATGCTGATGCTGCCTGTTTATTTCTTCTATTATGTCCTTTCTCAATTTTGTCCAGAACAAAAGACTTTAGTCCTCAAGTAGCTTTAAAAAAAATCAAAAAATTTTCAAATAAATATCTGAGACATCAAGGAACTCAGCCCCACACAGAGCAGTGGGAGAAAGGACTGCTGTGGTGTGTGTCTTTAGTGGCGAGTCAAGGATGAAGGTGAGCTGAATCTTTTCTGTGCTCTATGCCTGAGAATCAATGTGTAAAGATAAAGTTACCTCCTTCATCATCACACTTATACTCTGCTTAATCCTTAGTTGTTGCTTTCCAGATGTTTTTAAGAAGTTTCATTTACTTAGAGTAGAGCAATAAAATTCCCAGAGGCAAGGTGGCAGAAATGATCTATTTCTATGTTTGCCAGTATCTGGGAATTGGCACAGTGGTCTGCCTATAATAACAAATGTTCTGGTAGACAGGAACATGATAGAACATAATTTTTTGAAATATTTACAACAGAACTGTCCAATACAGTGATTATCAGACACTTTTTCTTAGCCTAAAACCTTTGCTTCAAATAAAATATAACATGAAAATACAAGCAAATAAACCCAGAAGCTGAGCTGCCAAAGCGGATCTTTTCTGTGGGAGAGTCCCCCCGCCTCCCGCCGCCTCCTTGAGCTATCCTCCTAAATCAGAAGCTATACACAGAAGAGTTTGAGATCTACTGTTCTAACTTAAAGTCTGAAGAAAAAAACCCTAAACTTAAAAAATATATAAGTTTTTTTTCTTTTAAGAGAGGGTAAGAGTTCAATTGGATAAAACCATCCAAGTTCCCTACCCAGGAAACAATTCAAGCCTCTAAATTTCAAAGATGTGAAAACACAGACTCGTGGTCTTTTATGGAGAAGTCTCAGAACTGAAACACAGTTAATGCTGTTTCAGAAATCAGTCAACTGAGAATATGAAGAATTTCTTTACTTCCTGCTGAAACTGAAGGACAGATCACAAAGCTAATCTTAGACTATATTTATATGTACTCAGTCCTCTTACACAGATGATTTTAAGAATCTAATAAAGTGTGTAGGTTAAAGTAAGATGCATTTTAAGATCTTACTCTATCAAAAGCAGGTAATGGGGAAAACTAACTTTTCTCAAAATAGGTCTGAAAACATCTTTATTTTCAGAGTTTGTATCAGCTGAATAGTAAGTCATAACCATAATTAATTAGAATAATTAAACTGTAGTGTTTCTTGCTATAATGTTTTTATCTGTCAAAACCCTTTTTGGGAAGTACATCACTTTTCTTCTCAATGTCAATTGCCATAAGAAACTAAGCAGATATGTGTAAGCTCTGCAAACCACTCTACTTGCCAATGACACCAAAGTACACTGAGTCAAAGCAATTATTCTGCTAAATAAAGACAAGAATGAGGACAATCAGTCTTACCTTATAGCACAGATACAGCAGTATTAATATCGGTATTGAATATCGCATTATACATATCTATATAAGAAAGACATTATTTAGATTACAAGTATTTGGAATACTTTTGCTTTATATTTTGCTTTGTAAATACATTATTTAAAAAAATATATATATATATAAAATCTAACAGGGCATGAATCTCCGATAGGCGAAAAAAACTGAGTCAATCATTTGTAAGGTATTTGGAGCTTCCACCATATTGCCACCTAGTGAATTTATAGGGCAGAACAACCCAGAACTGCACTTACGGGCTATTAATCATTACCATGCTCTTATTAGTAATTATGTACATATTATATATTATAGTAATTAACAATAATAATAGTGATAATGCTAGATAATGGGATTACTGGTAATTTTTAATATTCCTTTTTGTGCTTTTCAGTATTTCCAAATTCTATATAATGAACATATCTAACTATGAAAAAAAAATGATTTAGAAAATAAAATTAAGCAAAAAATTATTTTAAAATGATTCCTTATAATGCAGGGAACCCAAAGCTGGTCCTCTGTGACAACCTGGAGAGATGGGATGGAGAAGGAGGTGGCGGCGGGGGGGTTCAGGAGGGAGGGAGGGGACACATGTATACCTGTGGCCAATTCATGTTGATGTATAGCAGTGGCCAATACAATATTGTAAAGTGATTATCCTCCAATTAAAATAAATAAATAAATAAATCATAATGTATCAATTACTTTAGTTTTAAATTTTAGTATCCATTTTATCAAACTGATCCCTAGACAACTCTTGGTAAAACAACAGAATTGATAATGAAAGAAATACTGAAAGTCGTAAAAATGAAATGGAAAAAGAGATAGCACTGACCCTCTTTGGGTTATAAAGATGGATCAACTTCAGAAGTAACTCCCATATTTCAGGGCTGCATAAGCCAAATGACGCAAATACACACATATGGGATGTCCAGAGGTACTTCATTCTGGAAGAATACAGGCAGGCAAAGGTCAACAGTGCTAACTGTACAGAAACCTGAGACAGCTGTAAAGGCAGCTATACTATTTGTGATCATAGAACTTACTAAAACTATGCAGAAACCATCTGCCAAGGGGTTAGTTATTAATTTCATTGCCTTTTGAGAACCATCATATAAGTAAAAATAGAGGAATATTTGGTAATTAGAACTGGTTTCCAATGGTATATTGTACTGGGAGAAGACAATAAATAAGGACATTTTTATGGGAACCATAATTATTAAAGAAGATGATTGTCAGTTTCCAAATTACATTGCTAAACTATGTCAGGTAAAGAGTGGTCATAAAAAAATAAATAGATAAGACAAAAATACCTCATTGTACTCAATGCCAAGAATCCAAACAGAATCGTATGTATTAAATTGTAGGCAGTTTCTGGTTTCAGGCCAATTGTGTACTTTCCCATTTTACACATGGATTGCTGATTGGTAGAATCACTGGATAAAATAGCATATATACAAAATTAGTACTTAATTTTAATTCAGCTAAATCTTTGTTAAAGAAGAAGATATAAGAAAGCTATGCCTTCATATATTTAGAAATGTTTTATTTCCCTAAAATAAAGTGAATCAGCTCTTATCAATTTTGAATTTGTTTATGAGGCTAAAAGTGTCATAATATAAATGTACTAATATTAGAGTACCTAAAATTGAATAAATTTCACTTTAATTTAAGCAAAACCTTAAAGTCCTTCAATCCCTTTGATTATAAGAGACAGCAAAGAAATTCTGGAATCACTGAAACTATAAGAGATCTTCAGAGATGTTGTACTCACTCATATTTTTCTAGTTTTTACAAATAGGAAGTAAAACTGTATCTTGGAATTCAGTAGTTTTATGAACCAATGATCACATTCTTAACCTATCACAATATCTCATTACATACGTCTAACATGATTTTTAAAATCAAATATGGCTACATTAAAATGACTGCACCCATAAAATTAACAATAATCCTTTAACATCACCTAACACCCAGTTCATGTTCTAGTGTCTTTATTTGTTACAAAAGCTTTTTTTCAGGTAGTTTCTTTGAGTCAGGATCCAAAGCTTTCATATTGCATTTCAGCAATGTCTCTTTTAAATTATCTTTCAATCAACAGAATTACTCCCCCCTCCTGACTTTTTAAGGGCATTTACTTGTTGAAGAAAATATATCATTTGTCCTATAGCTATTTCCACCTTCTGGATTTGGTTGATTGTCTCCTTGTGGTGCCATTTAATATATTTCTCTATTCTCACATTTTTGATAAACTTTTAACTAGATCTAGAGGTTAATTATCAGAGTCAAGTTCATTTATTTTGGCAAGTACACTTCATGAGGGTACAACGTATTCCACACTGCATCACGTTGGAAAGTATGTACTGTCTGGTTATTCCTACTTGAGTGATGCTGAGATGGATGAGTGCGTTCAGATTTGCACAATTTGTTGTCAAGGGGAAAGGGAAACAACAACTAATGGCTGCCAGTCTAGGATAAAGATAATACTTCCATAAAGGCTCCACTTATCCTTCATACAAATCCAGTAGGCTTGGATATGTACAATGCTTCTGTATAACTACCGACCTGTTATTTCCTGGAATTCTCTTTTCACAACCCTAGATACATAAGAAAATGAAAATGATACTCTATGATAATTTTCACCACTGGTGATATTCTTTACCTAAACACTATGTATCACAACCCAAGCTCTGGCTTCCATTGACACTAAAAGATTACTCCAGACAAGAGCATACACTTTCATCCTCCCTTGATATTTGGGAGAATTCTGCAACACCTCTCCCAGGCTCTGCAACTGAGCCAGAAAGCTCAATTAATTCTGTGAACATAGAACGGGGTGCCCCTTTCAGTTATATAGTGCACAGTAATGTAGACGTGCTGCATAAACGTAATAGTACCATCCTTCCTAGTACCAGAAGGCAGGAAAACTTTAAATACTTGGCAGTGATAATATATCCTTCAAATTACTTAGACATTAATTCACATTAAGACACTGTAATTCTTAAGAGACTTTAATTAATGTAGTGCTTTCCTCTAATCAAGTCCTAATATCCCTACCTGGTAGATGAAGATGCTCTAAAATCTTTATCTATAATCATATACCAAATCAGCTTCCAGGGACGGCTCATAGATTCACACTGAGCATGGCAGACATTTTCACACAACACTGCAGGCCAACTGAACTTCCTGCTTTGCATGCAGTCTAGAGTCCTGTCGACACTTGATGTGTCTGGAATAATATTAAATTACACTGTCTAGAATAATTTCCATCTATTTTCACAGGGCTAAATTTTTATCTTGGGCTCGGTATAAAAAGAACACTTCTGAAAGATACTAAAATAGTTTATAGTCAATGAAATATCTTCATGGTTCAATGTTGCTTCATTCTTAATAATCATAAAACACCTCAGCTGAGCTGGGCTCACTGTAATGACTTTCTCCCAGCCAGCTCTTGGTGGCTGTGAATCAGCTCACCAGCACCTTAATTGGCAAGGTAACTACACAGAAAAAGGGCTTCCTTCTGGGCTTCATTACATCTTCACAAATGACAGTAGCTTCAACTTCTTACACTTAATTTTCTTTCAATTTAACATGGATAGTAAATGCAAAAACCTCCATCAGCTTGATAGGTAGGTATTCCATAAGTTTTTAAAAAGTCTTCATACTCCCTTACTTCTTCTTTTAAGTAGGTTAGCAGATTGCTAAGTTTTAAAAAACTGTCAATTAATACTTTAAGACTTTTAGTAGACGTTAACAATTATGGTCCGTTCCAACTTCATAAGCCCTTAAGCAAGATGCAACAAAACAACGGTTTGTAAACCAATAAAAATACGTGCTAATGATAGCTAAAGCCAACAAAATACGCACAAGGCACTAAGTACTTTATGTAATTTTAACTTATCTCTCAGAGAGCCTTGAGGGGTAAGTACTCTTAATGCTCTCATTCTATAGAAAGGGGAATGGAGATGTGGAAAGGTTATGTAATTGGCTCAAAGATCACATCATTCCCAAGTGTGTGGGCCAGGACTTCAACCCAGAACTGGGTGCAAGGCATCTGCTACTATTTACTGTCTCTTCACTGCTCCACCCTTAACAACTCAGAGTCGAGTCCATGCTAACCTGGGCATGCTCTCCCTTTAAGATGACTGTACTCTGCTCTGTATCTAATGCTTTGATTTTTCAATTTAGCAATTTTTCTGCAACACAGAACAAGCTCATTAAAGCACAAAATTAGATTTCTGAAATATGCCATACCTGAGATTACGGAAGGCCACAGCTAATGCTGCAATCACTGTGATGGACAGAACAAATATATAAGCATAAAAAAGCAGAGTATCTGAAAGTCTTTCAAATGTATTAAAAGGTAGAAGGCCAAATGCTTCTTCACACAGGTATAGGTTTGCATCAAAATCTCTAGGAAATAAAAGGAAAGCAAAGTATTTAATTCAATACAAGATAGTAAACCTCACATTTTCCCTCAAAACAAGCCTGAAATTAAAATAACTGGTAACTTACATTTTAAAGACTCTTGATGATTTAATATAAAAAAACAAACACAGACTTTAAATTTAATCATACCTTGTTGCTCCAAATCCAAATTTTGCCTTCAGAAATTTAAATATGTGTTCATCTGACTTGAGGTTAAGAATTTTCTGTCAGGGAGGGAGAAAACGAAAGTTGCTAATTAGCTCCTTATGCATTGTTTTCTGATAATTTCCCATTGAACACACTTATTCAGTGTCCCATCTCATAGGTGTGTATGTGTGTACGTGTAAAATTAGTAAATGTTCAAAACAATTCTTAGAATCAAGAAATTCGAAAGCTGAGATATTCTTTTTTTTAAAAAAAGTGTTTTAGTGAAGTAGTTGATTTACAATGTTGTGTCAGTTTCCGGTATACAGCGAAGTGACTCTGTTATACATACATATATTTTTTTCCATTATGATTTGCTACAGGATATTGAATATAGTTCCCTGTACTATACAGTAGGACCTTGTTGTTTATCTATTTTATATGTAGTAGTGTGTATCTCAGAGTTGGACACGACTAAAGCGACTTAGCAGCAGCAGCAGTGTGTATCTGCTAATCCCAAGCTCCTAATTTATCCTTCCCTGAACTCCTTTCCCCTTTGGTAACCATAAGCTTGTTTTCTATGTCTGTGAGTCTGTTTCTGTTTGGTAGATAAATTCACTTGTATCATATTTTAGATCCCATATGTAAGTGATATGTAATACTTGTCTGTCTGTCCGATTTACTTCACTTAGTATGATAATCTCTAGATCCATGCATGTTGCTGCAAATGGCATTATTTTATTCAAAAGCTGAGCTTTTCAAACTGTCTTTCTTCCTGGTTTTTTTTTTTTTTTTTAGCAGAATCACTTTTGCAAACAAAATCTAGGCTTAAGTTCAATATGCAAAATAGATAAAAGATGAGGTTCTTTGGTTTCAGGGAAAGCGAGAAGCTGAAGCCCCAGTGAGTACAATTTTTTAAATCAGAAAACCGATAATATCATGATCTGAAACCTCAAACAGGAACATAGTCCACAAATCCTACTTTGCTGATGTAAGACTCATTCACTCAAAGATAATTCAAGACACAGCAGTAACCCTCAATGGGTGAAGAGACAAATGCCAGTGTTCATCATTAATGAGTGTAATTTTAACTCACAGTACTTTATTTTTAATTTATGGCTTACCAAAATTCATACAACATAAATGGGTGAAGAAATTATATTAGAAGAAAAATGAAGATAGAAAAAAATATATGATTAATCCAGAACTGAGGTTGATACACAAAACACATTCACTAGAGATGAGCCACAAATCTGGACTCAAGCATTCTAGCAGAAAATGCGAAGAAGGAAATAAAAGCATTTATGCTCCTCACAGGGTCATAAGATTAAAACAAACCAGTTGCTTAGAAGAGATCCTTATGGTCTTAAAATTGAGACTCAAGAGAAATTTTGCCCATGGGTATATTCAAAACAGTGAGCAGTCTCAAGGAGTATCTCTTCCGAATTCTTCTCATTAGGTGGCTGGCAGAATGTCAAGTGCAATTCAACAGATGTTATTTTTGGGGGGAGTCAAAAAATAGTGGTCCAGATATGCAGCTCTCTCCTGGTTTAATCCAGACACAGATAACTGAACATCTAGGGTGGTGAGATGAACAGACTGCATAACTTTCAGCCAAACTTTCAGAAATGCTGATTGTTCTGCTCAGATATGTTTTTGGTGAGTACTGACTGATATGGAGTTTAAGGACATAGTGACAAGGACCTGGAGTAAAGGTGTTTAATGTAGCTGGCTGAGTGAAGGGTCTTTTTTCTTTCTTTGACAGTCAACAGACAGGGGGAGGGACTGTCATTTTCCTAGAGGAAGGGTCTGTCCTGGGTCCAGCCTTCCCGGAGGGGTAAAATCATCTCCATCAATCAAAGTGGCTCTGATAATAAAGCTAGTTTATTTACGAACTTAACCCAATAAAAATCATGTCATTTTTTTTTAGTACCATTGTACAGAAAACTATCCCTAAAAAGTAGATTTTTTAAATTTAGAGAAATGCTTGTTAAATGCTTTTAAAGCTGAGTTTTTAAAGAAGTTTAAGAAACTCAAAGGTGGGTTCAAAGTAGAACATGTTAAAGAGTGAATAGAAATCAAGGACTAAAATAAAGAAAACAATCCTATTACTGAAACAAAGGTAAAACTGAGTCTGTTTAAAGTAAAACTAGTAACTCTTCAGTAATGTTAAATTAAATATATCATTTTATTAACATACCTTAATGATGTTGTTGAGAAAAAGTGTCAAACATAAAACGAAAAATAAATGTAACAACAGTTTCCCAAGTCTATTAAGAAAGTTTCCAGTTTTCATATTTTTCTAGAAATTAAGAGAGTTAAGTTTTAATTTTTTAATATTCATTTAACTTCACAAACATTTAAAATGAGATTACTTAAAAGATTTAAAACACTGAGTCATGCAACATACAGAGAAAATATAACCTAATTTTCATGTGGTAACATTGCTTAAAATTTGTTATTTTCTAATAGTAAATGAATCACTTAATAATAAGCTCCATATGATAAGGAATGTATCCGAGTCCTTTCTATTTTAAAGACCTCTTCAAAAAAAAAGATCTCTTCAGAGTATGGAGTGAGCTCCTTAGAAGGTACTCAGCTCATACTGACTGAAGAAATCTTTTGATGATTTATCCACTAATTTGTATGTCACAGACTAGAACCCATTAAATAAAAACACCAGCATAAAAAATAAATTGTGCTCTTTGATATATAATAATTTTATTATAACACTCAAATAACTTTACAGATTATCAAATATAATAATATCTAAACAGTTCAAAGATGAGTGATAATTCATTTCTAATTAAAGTTAAAAGGATAAATGAGACATACAGTTTCTAACAGTCAGCTAAAAGCCTATTTATTAAAATCTTTGTGAGGACTTGTCCATAGCAATTATCACTCAAAAGACTAGTAAGAAAAAGGATTTATTCTTCCCCAAATGGAAAACAAAACAGCTTCTTGATTTAAAAGTGTTATGAGAAATGTTTCTCATATGCTTATGAGACAGAGAACAGGCTTTGCAACACTCTTAAGGAAAAGATAACTAACTCAAATTTCATGTAAATTTAAGAAATTTTAATAGCATAATAAAGTCAAAGATCAGGTGAATGTCAAACATGTTATTCTAGTAAGTGTCCCAAGGTATTTATTTATTTGGAACCTCAAATTCTCAAAACTGTTAATTTTAACTGACTTAGAAATCAATAATAATAATAATATAACATGTAAGAATGAGGGAGAGTGGTGTTACTACTTTAAACAACAAGGTGTCCACCAACTTTAAAGACTGTGACAAACGTTCCCACAAGCAATAGGTTCTTCTCATTCTTGGGTTCACACTTGAAAAGTTAACATTTTTTTCTCTTTTATTTCAACTTTAAACCAACAGCATTCAAATCAGTATCTCTGGCTAATCCTAAATTTAATTAAGACTCCAATTTTGTAGGAAATAATAATGTCAAAACAAAGGGATGATGACATATCAGAAAGCTTGAAAACGAATGCTATACCATGCACTTAAAAAATAATAATAATAATAATAATGCCCCTACTGTGATTTAGTGGGAGTTTGGTCATAAATTTTCCTTTGTATCCTATATGAAAACATGGTCCAAACAACCACACGTTTTTTAAAAAGTTTAAGGACAAAAAAAAAAGTCCTACCTGAAGTTTTCTTGCAATTAATACCGAAAGGTTGAAACTGATAAGCAATGATCCAAGAATCATGGAATTAAAAAACTGAAGAATGCAGACCAGGAGTAAACCTGTGAGTTGTATACTGTACAGCCATGTCACCTGCAACAACCAAAGGTTAGATGATNTTGTATACTGTACAGCCATGTCACCTGCAACAACCAAAGGTTAGATGATGAAGCAGATTTTATCAGGGGACTCCCACATGCTGACGGGCTGGTCCCTAGCTGAATACATCTCAAGCTATAAATAATGCAGAAGACACACCTAGCTTCAAGTAATACAATCTAAGAAAGGAAAATAGAACATTATACCTTTTAGTTACATGACATTTTAAACTTTATAACATTAAGAAGAAAGGAGACATATGAAGTAGAGGGAGCAAACAACGGTATAAACAAATTCTAGAAATAGGCAAATGCTGTTAATAGCTTTCAATGTTCTTCTAAATTCCTTTATAGTTATGGTTTATATTTTATCATCTTCTAACAATGAATAATTTACTGTATACATTATTTCTCAATCTTTTATTTCCCAATCTTTCCTAATGATGTTGAACATCTTATCATGTGTCATTGAACCTTTATATATCTTCTCTCGAGAAATATCTACCTAATGCTTGCCTATATTTAACTGTGGAAAGTACTGTAAGAATTCTTTATATATCCTGGAAATCCCTTTTCAAACATGTGATCTGCAAATTTTGTTGCCCATTTTGTAAGCTGTCTTTTCACTTTCTTAGTGGTATACTGTGAAGTACAAGCGTTTTTAATTTTGACGAAGGCCACTTTTTCTCCTTTTACATCCTCGTGATTTTGCTGCTGTTGTTTCGTCGCTAAGTTGAGTCTGACTCTGTGTGATCCCCCGGGGTGCAGCACGCGACTCCTCTGTCCTCCAGTATCTCACGGAGTTTCCCAAAATTCACATCCATTAAGTCAGTGATGCTATCTAATATGTCGTCCTCTGCCAGCCTTTTCTCTTTTTGCCTTCAGTCTTTCCCAGCACCAGGGTCTATATTGGTGAGTCGGCTCTTCGCATTAGATTGTCCAAAGTATTGGAGCTTCAATTTCAGTCCTTCCAATGAATATTTAGGGTTGATTTCCTTTAGGATTGACTGGTTTGATCTCCTTGCAGTCCAAGGGACTCTCGAGTCTTCTCTAGCATTACAATTTGAAAGCATCAATTCTTCAGCTCTCAGCCTTCTTTACAGTCCCAACTCTCACATCCATGTGACTGCTAGAAAAACCTTAGCTTTGACTATAGACCTTTGTTGGCAAAAGGATGTTTCTGCTTTTTAATACGCTGTCTAGGTTTGTCACAGCTTTTCTTACAAGGAAAACGTGTCTTTCAATTTCATAGCGGCACTCACTGTCCACAGTGGTTTTGGAACCCAAGAAAATAAAATCTGTCACTGCTTCCACTCCCTCCTCCCCCTGCCCCGCTTCTATTTGCCATGATGCCGATCTTAGTTTTTCTGAATGTTGCATTTCAAGCCAGTGTTTTCATTTTCATCTTTGATCCTCATCAGTTCAGTTGCTCAGTCGTGTCCAACTCTTTGAGACCCCATGGACCACAGAACGCCAGGCCTCCCTGTCCATCACCAACTCCCAGAGTTTACCCAAATTCATGATCCTCATCAGGATGCTCTTTATTTCCTCTACACTTTCTACCATTACAGTGGTATCACCTGCATATCTGAGGTTGCTGATATTTCTCCTGGAAAGCTTGATTCCAGCTTGGGATTCATCCAGCCCAGCATTTCACACGATGTCCTCTACATATAAGTTAAATAGACAGGGTGACAATATATAGGCTTGACGTATTCTTTTTCCAATTTGAACCAGTCCATTGTTCCATGTCCAGTTTTAACTGCTGCTTCTTCAACTGCATACAAGTTTCTCAGGAGAAAGGTAAGGTGGTCTGGTATTCCTATCTCTTTAAGAATTTCCACAGTTTGTTGTGATCTACAGTCAAAGGCAAGCCATTCAATATCACAGTAGTCCAAGTTTATGCCCCAACCAGTAATGCTGAAGAAGCTGAAGTTGAACTGTTCTATGAAGACCTACAAGACATTCTGGATCTAACACCCAAAACAGATGTTCTTTTCATCACAGGGGACTGGAATACAAAAGCAGGAAGTCAAGAGATACCTGGAGTAACAAGCAAGTTTGGCCTTAGAGTACAAAATGAAGCAGGGCAAAGGCTAACAGAGTTTTGCCAAGAGAACGCACTGGTCATAGCAAACACCCTCTTCCAACAACACAAGAGAAGACTCTACACATGGACATCACCAGATGGTCAACACNAGCAAAAGATCAAAGCAGTCAATCCTAAGGGAAATCAACCCTGAGTATTCTTTGGAAGGACTAAAGCTGAAGCTCCAATACTTTGGCCACCTGATGTGAAGAGTCAACTCACTGGAAAAGACCCTGATGTTGGGAAAGATTGAGGGCCAGGGTTCAGATCCCTGTTCAGGCACCAACAACCAGACCAGCAACAAACTGACCTGAGGGAAGAGTGCCACAGAAGAATAAAGAAAAAGAAGACTCAGAAATAAAGAAAAAGAAGACTCAGGGGTCTGATGCCATTTATAGGCAAAAGCCCAGATCCTAATCCTTGCATGCCTTTTATTGTTAACTTCTACTTCCTTGTTTGTGCTCTAGAGATAACTGTTCTTTACAATCTCAGATCGGGGATAAAGATATACAATGCACAGTCCTCCATGTCAAGCCTTCAGGCTTTTCATGACTTTTGTTTAGCTCTTTGGTTAGTGATGACCTTTCTCAGCAACTCCCTCAAGGCTCTGGTTATGGGAACAGTCATTAATGGTTTTCCATCAGTCACATCAGTACTTCAACATCTTGTTTTCAAGTTGTCTTTCCACGACATACTTTTTACTGCTCCCAGCCCTTCATCTGGGGGTGATGAGAAAGTCATTCTTTTTCAAAGAAGCCCTGTTAATTATAGTACAAGCCTGTGCATAACATATTCCCTACATAGGAAAAGGGGATGAAGAGAGGAGGAGATGGTTGGAAGGCATCACCAACTCAATGGGCATGAGTTTGAGCAAACTCTGGGAGATAGTGAAGGACACAGAAGCCTGACATGCTGCAGTCCACGGTATTGCAAAGAGTTAGACACAGCTTAGTGACTGAACAACAACAAGGTGACAGCTTGGTTATAGTTGAGATGTTTCCTCTTTTATAATGTGAGTATGGAGTGCTACACATTTCTCTGTCAGTGCTGCTTTAGTTGCACCCCAAAAGGTTTGATGTGTTGCATTTTTGTTGTCACTGAATTCATTGTTTTCTCAAGGCTGCCTTTTTGACCCATAGATTATTTAGAAGTGCACTATTTAGTTTCCAAGTTTGTAAAGTTTCCTACCTTTTTGTATGATTTCTAGTTTGAATCCATTGATTCAATCCATTGAGTATTCTGCTGTTGTTGGGTGGAGTGTTCTATAAATGTTAGTTAGATCCTGTTGGTTGATGGTGTTGTTCAGTGCTATATCCTTGATGATTTCTGTCTGGTTGTCAATTATTGAGAGAGGGTTGCTGATGTTCTCAACCCTATTTGTAGGTTTGTCTATTTCTCCTTTTAGTTCTGTCAGTTTTTGTTTCATATATATTGTGGCACTGTTATTTAGTACATATGCATTTACAGTTCTCATGTCCTCTTGGTAGATGAATACTTTTTTCAATATACAGTATTCTGGCAATCTCCTTTGTTCTCATGCCTACTTTATCTGATATTAATATAGCCACTCCTACTTTCTTTTGGTTAATATTTGCAGTGGTGTTATCTTTTCCAACTCTTTTAGTTTCAATCTTCCTATACTGTTTGTTTGGTGTGAAGTGAATTTTTTATAGAAAACATTTTGGTTGTGTGTTTTTAATCTGCTTTAACCCATCTCTGTCTTCAAATTTTTGTATTTCATTGCTATGTGTGTGTTAGTAGCTATGTGTGTGTTAGTAGCTCAGTCATCTCTGACTCTTTGTGACCCCATGGACTGTAGCTCACCAGGCTCTTTTCTCCGTGGAATTCTCCAGGCAAGAATACTGGAGTGGTGTGCCATTCCCTTCTCCAGGGGATCTTCTCAAGCCAGGGACTGAACCCAGGTTTCCTGCATCGCAGGCAAACTCTTTACCATCTGAGCTACCAGGGAAGCCCTAAATAATTGTTGCTATGCTAGATCTTAAAATCTGTCATTTTGTCATTTGCTATTTGCTCACTCTGTTTTCTATTTGTTTTCTCTTCTCTGCCTTCCTGTGGGTTACTTGAACATTCCTTGAATTCTATTTTTACTTATTTATAGTATTTCTGAATGTATCTCTTTGTACAGATTTTTAGTGGATGTTCTGGATTATTCCATTATGCATTCTGACTTATTACAGTCTACTGGTGTAGACATTTTACCAGTTTGAATCAACTGTAGAAATTTTACCTCAATTTAAGTCCCTTTACTTTTCTCATTTACAACTGTCTTAAATATTTCCACTACATAGAGAACCATAGGCAATATTAGTAACTTTTGCTTCTGCTATCAAACATAATTTAGAACACTCAAGATCAGACAAGTTTATTATACTTAAGTATAACTCAAAATTAAGGGAGCTACCCACTCCAGTATTCTGGCCTGGAGAATTCCATGGACAAAGAGCCTGGTAGGCTACAGTCCATGGGGTTGCAAAGAGCTGGACATGCCTAAGCAACTTTCACACAATAAACTTGTTTCATCTGGTTCCAAATTGGGAAAGGAGTACCACAAGGCTGTATCTTGCCACCCTCCTTATTTAACTTATATGCAGAGTACATCATGCAAAATTCTGGGCTGGATGAAGCGCAAGCTGGAATCAAGATTGCTGGGAGAAATATCAATAACTTCAGATATGCAAATGATACCACCCTTATGGAAGAAAGCAAAGAGGAACTAAAGAGCCTCTGATGAAGGTGAAAGAGGAGAGCGAAAAAGCTGGTTTAAACCTCAACTTTCAAAAAACTAAGATCATGGCATCAGTTCTCATCACTTCATGGCAAATAGATGGGGAAACCATGGAAACAGTGACAGACTTTATTTTCTTGGGCTCCAAAATCACTGCAGGTGGTGACTGCCATCATGAAATTAAAGACACTTGCTCCTTGGAAGAAAAGCTAAGACCAACCTAGACAACATATTAAAAAGCAGAGATATTACTTTGCTGACAAAAGTTGACATAGTCAAGGCTATGGTTTTTCCAGTAGTCATAAAGAAAGTTGAGTACTGAAGAATTGCTGCTTTTGAACTGTGGTGTTGTAGAAGACTCTTGAGAGTCCCTTGGACTGCAAGGAGATCAAGCCAGTCAATCCTAAAGAAAATCAGTCCTGACCATTCATTGGAAGGACTGATGATGAAGTTGAAGCTCCAATACTTTGGCCACCTGATGAGAAGAACTGACTCCTTAGAAAAGACCCTGATGCTGGGAAAGACTGAAGGCAGAAGGAGAAGGGGACGTCAGAGGATTAGATGGTTGGATGGCACCACCAACCTGATGGACGTGAGTCTGAGTAAGTTCCAGGAGTTGGTGATGGACAGGGAAGCCTGGTGTGCTGCAGTCCATGGGGTTGCAGAGTCAGAAATGACTGAGTGACTGAAGTGAACTGAATTAATATTTTTATTTTTAATTGCCTTTTATTTGTTCTTGATGTCCCAACATTTCTCCTTTTATCATTTCATCCGGTTCAAAAAACTCAATTAACAATTTTAAAAAAAAAGAAGGCCGCCGGGAAAAAAATCCGGTAAGTTTCCCTCAACTGAGAATGTTTTGCTTTCTCTGTCTTTCCTGAAAGGTATTTTGGCTGGGTATAAGACTATGGGCTGACCATTGTTTTCTTTCAGCACCATGGTTTCTGATGAGAAATCTACTGTCATTCAAATTGGTTTACCCCATCAGTATCATTTTCCTCTGACTGATTTCACAGAAAAATTTTTAGTCTCCAGAAATTTGATTATGATGTATCTTGGCATTGATTTATTTGGTTTATACTATTCAACATTAGCTTAACTTCTTGATTCTGTAGGTTTTCCCAAATATGTAAAGTTTTTGGTCATTCCTTCAAAAATTTATTTTTTCACATACTTTTTCCCAGTTTGACACTCCTTCTCTCCTCTTGGGGTTCTGATTACATGAATTCAAGTTCTTGCTATGGTCCCATAGGTCTCTGAGGCTCTGTTCACTTTTTCCAATCTGTTTGAATGTTCAAATTAGTTAATTTCTAAATTGTCCTATCTTCAAGTTCACTGATTCTTTCCTCTGACCATTCCAGTCCACTGTGAATTGATCTTCTGAGATTTTTACTTTCATTATTGGAATTTTTCAGTAAATTCCAATTCAGTAAAATTTTCATCTGCTTCTTCTTTTATCTTTTAAATCTCAGTTGAGGTTCTATTTTTTCATTTGTTTCAAGTGCATATATAATTGCTCAATGACAATTTTATGAAGGCCGCTTTAAATTCCTTGTCAGATAATTCAACTTTTGTGTGTCTTGGTGTTGCCACCTGTTGATCCCTGTTCATTCAAGAGATTTTCCTGGTTCTTAGTTTAATAAATGATCTTCAGTTGTATTGTATGATATTATGGATCTTGGACCTTCTGTAAACCTTCATTGTCAGCAGACCTCCTTTGATACCATTCCAGCCTCATGCCACTGAGGAAAGAAGGATGCTGCCTCATTATTTCCAGATGAATCTGGCTGTCCAGGGTGCCCATTTGACCTCTGCTGACCTTTAAGGGGGTGTCTCATTACTGCAAGGTGAAGATGAAAGTTTAGGCTCCCCATAAGGCATCTGCTGACACCATCCTGGCAAAGAGGGTAAGGGATGTCTTATTACCAACAGTTAGAAGTTGAAGGTTCTCCACGTGGCATTCATGTTTCACCTTTTCTTGAGGCTTTTCCCCCCTCTGAATCCATTAGTATTTCCTGGTTGCTAACTTCTCTAATACTTAGTCTGAGATAAATACAGCAAAGAGAAAATTGAGAGAACTCAGTGTCATGTTTTCCCTTTGGTCTTGAGGTCTCTAGGCATTGTCTACTTTCTTTTCTCCACTTCTCAAAATCTTATGTTTCTTTTTTACATAACGTCTAGGGCTGCTTTTAATTGTATTTAGTGGGAGGGATAAGGAGAAGTGCGTTTACTTCATTTTGTCTGGAAACTTACTGAGTACTTTAAAATTGCCTCCCAGGTATTAATCACTAATGTGTCTTGTTTTCACAATGGGTAATCTCTATATCCTTAGTAATGGAACAGAATTACATGCTTAATAATAACATTTACTGTTCTATTTTATATTTTAAAGTTCTGTACACATTTCTCACTGAAAATTTCACTTCTGATGGTAACAGACTTTCCATCATCCATGATAAGAAGATGACATGTACTGAAAAAGATAGTTTTTTATCACCACATCAGGCTCTGAATTTGCATTATCTTTTTCTGTATCAATTATTCTGACTCTTTCCCATGTGACATGATTAGAGATCATGATTCTAGTTTATGAAGAAACTAAGGCTCCAAGAACTTGTATCAGTTGACAAAGCTTAAAGAGCTAGTTATTTTCAGAACTGATAGTAGCAACTTGGTATTATAAGCCAGGATCCTTTCATTATGATACTGTTCCTTCTTAAATTCTGATACTACTTCTAACACCAACAGAGTTTCAAATATGAAAAGTTCAGTGAAGTTTAGAACTGAATATAAAATAAATCAGCTGTATTATGCTTTAGTTTTGTGTATGTGCCAAAATAGTACTTTTTATTGTTTTGTAATTAAAAAAAAAAAGAAATAGATGGTCATTATGGAAATTCAAGAGATCTATAGAACAAAAAGAAAATAAGAGTACTAAGCACATTTTGTTGTTGTTTAGTCGCTAAGTTGTATCTGACTCTTTGTGACCCCATGGACTATAGCCCATGAGGTTCCTCTGTCCATGGGATTTCCCAGGTAAGAATACTAGAGTGGATTGTCATTTCCTTCCTCAGGGATGTTCCCCACCCACGGATCAGATGACTGCTAATACTTTAATGTATATTATTTCTGGAAACTTTCCTTTCTATATACATGTTTTACTTTTGAAAAAAAGGGAGAAGGAAAACTAATGGTTATATATAACATTCTGTTACATAGTTAAGACATGTTTATTTAACAGTACTCTATTGCTGTTGACTTAGGTCATTTCCAGACTTTTCTTATTACAATAAAACTAAAATGAACATCTTTGATTATTTCCTTATGGCAAATTTCAAGAAGTGAAAGTCTGGTGAAAAGACAAACACATTTTCTTGGGCTTATGATGCTTACTGTAAAAATACACTAGAGAAAATTCTATACTACAGAAAAACTTTATAGTTATATTTTCAAAATTGCTCATTATTTATTTAATTTCTTCTTCCATTGATTAATTAATAAATCAATTATTTATGTTAAAATGTACAGTGTTCCTTTGAAGTACTTGTTGGGGCAGAGAGTGATATGAAGAAACCAACTGGCCTAGGAGTGTATGACTAGGAGAAATACAGAGGCATCTAGACACTCCTTCCCCTTAACTTGCAAGTCCCCATGAGCAAAGTATAAAGAGTTAACAAAATAGCAAAGCAAATATAATCCGACATGAATGAACTCAGCTTCATTTGTACATACAGCTTTTACAGGCATGTAGGTTCTATTATTATTATCCAATATCACACATACACATATACACACATATACATTTTAGCTTTTGCTTATCCACCTGCTTTCTTTTTTAATTTTTTCTAAATTAAAAAATTTTTATTTTATGTTGGAATTTACTTGATTAACAATGATGTGCTGATTATAGGTGTACAGCAGAGTGATTCACTTATACCCATGAGTATCCATTCTTTTTTGATTCTTTTCCCATTTATCCACCTGCTTTCTTTACTGTATTTTACCTTCATATTTTGATTTCTCACACTCCATCCAAATTCTACTCTCTTCATTTTTGGTCCAGCTCGAGCATCTCATTTCTGTGAAACCTTTCTAGCCTAAAAATAACTTTCTTCTTCTAGACTTCTAGTGCTTATTGTTACTACAAATTGACATCATAGATAGATATAGCTATATAGATGTATATATTAGACATCTAATTGTATAGAGATCTTTATTTCCCAAGTTAGATGGCAAACTCCCAATGGATGGGACAACATCTTACCCGGGTTCTCACCTGTTTCCTGTGCTGACTGCCTTTAATGTGCTGACTGACTTTAACGTTTCCTAATTCAGATTTAGTTAGTTTTCAAAGATTGCTACACCTCTTCTGACATGGAATATGTGAGCTCAACTCTTCTCTATTAGATTATATTGCTGCCCTAGGTCTGGAGATAATATTTTATTGTACTTGGGAACTTAAGTTACTGTTACTTTAGAATAGTAACTATGAGCGACTTAAAAATATACACAACACATTAAAACATATTTCTGCATGTGACAAAAACCATGCTGTTAAATGACGGCAGCACACACTGGGAGACAGACAAGTTTCCTTCATAATTTCCTTAGTTCATAGGTGGCCTCTGGCCAATCAACAGGGATTCAGATCCCAGACTGGTAAATGTTACCGTGAAAATTTTATAAAGTACCATAGAAAAGTTGTTATATATCCACTGATTTCCTTGGGGGAAAAAGGATGGGGCAATATACAGTAACACATTTAAAACAGCCATCCTACATTTTAACATTTAAGTAAACTCTATAAAGGACAATTGACTCAGACACTTGTGCTCCAAATAAATATGTCTTTTAATGTAAAATACGCAGGATAAAAGTTAAAATCATCAAACTAGGCTGTATAAATTACTGAACTTCAACTGACTACAAGATATTTACATTACAGTTAAGAAGCAGCTTCAACTTTATCATTAAGCATGTGCATATTTTGAGCTCATTCTATGATATAAAACATTAAACAATGACCATCTCAACTGAGAAAAGAAAGCAAAGCTTACCTTCATTGCTGGCAACATGTCTAGGGAGTCCAGTATGAACAGCACTAATGCTTGCATCAGCATCATAAATTGATTAAATTGCCATGTTAGACTAAAGAGAAAAGTTGATATGAAAATGGCAAGAAGTGTCAGCCTCTGTAAAAAGAAAATTTTATATAATTTACACGTCTCTACTAATAAAAAGCCTCTCAGACAAGTGTTCTCAAGAGCAGCCAATATCTCTACAAACAAAACAGAAAAAAGCTATAGTGTTGCTCTGAAAACTCTTGCATTTGTTACTTATGCTCTAAATATCCTAAAGTGACACTTTGCATATAAATATTCACATACAGTATGTGTACTCCATATTATTATGGAGGCGATAATGCACCAAATCACATCTCAAGAGCAATCGCTTAAAAATTCTGACAGCTCTGCAGAAATTTTGTGTGGGTTTGCTGCAACTATTTAAAGGCAGATGATACAAAGAACATTTTTCACATCATAAATGAAAACATTTTCTTTGTAAAGTAGGGAAAGACTTGGAAAAAAAATGTAACAAGTTAAAAAACTGGTTGTGGAATAAGAACTATCAACAGACACTGGGACACTATGAACATCACATTTTCTGAAGCTTCCAAGATAAAACTGGAGAACTAAAAATAGACACAAAGGATTGTAAAAACTTACTTGAGAAAGAGGCTGTAAGTTTGGTCTCAGGAAGTATGTAATTGCTGCTATCTGGATTGCAAAGAACGGCAGCGCCCAGTTCTCTCTCAGGGGGATGGTAAACTCCACCCTCGTGGTATCTATTCTGCACATGGAAAAAACAAAGGGCCCAAGGGGTAATTTTTACCACCATTAGCTCAAAGATTTCCTGAAGTGAAAGATGTATTACATTAAGTATATTTGGATTTTGGTTCTTGGTTCTCAATAATTCATCCTTATCATCATCCCTGTAACATAAAACTGTCATTGAGAAAATTTAAATAACCTGTCCACAGTTAGACAGGGGTGGAACTGGTAGTGTTTTATACTCGAGTCTTAATTTTGTCATTGATTAATAATTGTTAAAAATGGTACTGAAGAATTTATTTACTGGGCAACAATAGAGAAACAGACATAGAGAATAGACCTATGGACATGGGGAGAGGGGAGGAGAGGGTGAGATATATGGAGACAGTAACATGGAAACTTATATTACCATATGTAAAATAAATAGCCAATGGGAATTTGCTGTATGTCTCAGGAAACTGAAACAGGGGCTCTGTATCAACCTAGAGGGGTGGGATGGGGCGGGAGATGGGAGGGGGGTTCAAAGGGGAGGGGACATATGTACACCTATGGCTGATTCATGTTGAGGTTTGACAGAAAACAACAAAATTCTGTAAAGCAATTATCCTTCAATAAAAAATAAATAAATTAAAAAAACTACTGGTAAAAACTGTTTGACTCACTCCCCTAGAATGTGAACCCCAAGAGGGCAAGAATAGTTTTCAAGTTTGTACACCCAGTACCAAGAACCATTCCTACACACACGAGATATCCAACAAATGTCTTTTATTTACTTTTAATAGAAGCAAATTTGACTTTTAGCTGGGATTATATGTTAGATTAAACTGTTAAGAAGCAGCGTAACAGTGGTCTCACACTTTGCATCTTAATTCTGATTAAAACTTAGCTCCATATGTGCGTGTGTGTGTGTATACCTTTCTATAGAAATATATATGCCTAATAAATAGTTTCATATACATGTCTATGCATATAACTTAACCTTTTACATATATTTATATATATAATGTATACTATAAAACTCAACCTTTTAAGCTTCAATTATCTCATCTCTGAAATAGTAGTAATAATAGTACCTACACTATAAGGTTGCTAAAATAATACATATAAAGCACTAATGTAAAGTGCTTAGCATATAGTAACCACTCAATAAAGTTATAATAAAAAGTAATTTGTTGAGGATTAACCAGTATTAGAACTCATGTTCAGATTTTAAGAATGATACTGAATATTGATATTGCTTTTACAGGTCAGGCAATAATTCGATATATCTTGACTATGTTTTTTAAAAATGCTATTTAATAATGCTCTGGTATTTGGAAATTAATATATATTAATTAAATAATATAAGAACTTCTTTACATTTGTACAGTGCTTTATGCTTTGCTAATTAGGAGCTCCACACAATCTTATTGAGGTTGCTAATAAAGATATTATTAAACCTTAGAAATGAGATTTATGACTAGAGAAATATTAATCATACAGCAAGTTAGTAAAAGAATTGGGACTATTATAGATGATTCTCTTGACTTACAATTCAATGTTTTGTTCCTCAGTTGTAGACATATTAATACAGAAGTAGGACTTTCTATGTTACTAAATAAAATGTTTATGAGGTAACCCAAAGAGAAAATGGTGGTTGTTTAGTCGTGCCCGATTCTTTTTCAACTCCATGGACTGTATCATGCCAGGCTCCTCTGTTCATGGAATTTTCCAGGCAAGAATACTGGAGGGGGGTGCCATTTCCTTCTCCAGGGGATCCTCCCGACCCAGGGATCAGACCCATGTCTCTGGCATTACAGGTGGATTCTTTACCGCTGGGCCACCAGGGCTTCCCAAAGAGAAAATACTCTCACACAAATGTGGAAGAACAATCTTCTTTAACCTGGAAATGAAGTAACTTCATTTTCTAAACTTACACTTAGAAAGGGAGAAAGGAATACTGATTCCAACTCACCTATTTGTGACGTACCAGAAGGCTGCTAACAGTCCTGAAAGCCACGTACCGCTCAGGAGCCAGCTGGTTATGTAAAGAGCTGTGACATAAATTGCTTGGAGTCCAAATAAGGTGTAAATATAAAAATAAACTGGTTCTATATATCTCTGTAAAAGGGAATGATAAAAAAAAATGTTTGTTATAGAACTCCTACTCCTACTCATTGCCACTTAAAAAACATGCAAGTGGAAATTTAGTATTTAGAAGTTTGGTATTAATTCTAAGAAATAAGTATACATCACTCCTTCCCATGCAAAAGTGTGCTAGCAGCCTTCTTTCTCAATATCAAGAGCAGAAGAGGGAAGTTCCTGAGGACTTTGGCTTCAGACAAGTTTTACACCTAATTTTGTCGAGTATTCCCTTATTCAGGTGAAGAGGGCCACTGTGATCTGCTAATCTTCCAGGTTTTTTTTTTTTTAATTCAAAGATAAATGAGGAGTGATTACACATTGCCAATTGAAAATATTTACCAGCTTTCAAACTACACACTTACAAGCCTCCAAGTATCTATATGCGAAAATATAAAATATAAATAAAAAGCAAAATTCACAATATGTAAGGAGAAAATTAGCTTGTTTTTATAAAATTGTTGTTTTTATATCAAGACAGCTGAAGATCAGAAAAACCTATGTGAAACATTTCAACACTTTGATTTTCATCTGATATTAAATTCAATGTCACAGATCACAACATACCTGTATGGGTAGAACTCTATACAAAATACTGAGAAAAACCTCTTGGTAGATATTCATTCGTTGAAGGAGGTTAATTGTCCTCATAGATTCCGTTTTGTTATCATATATTAAGCCACGAAAACCTAAGATTAATATTTGAAAATTCAAGAAAAGATAATTACTCATTCAAAACTATTCACAGAGTCTTTAGTATATGTCAGAGAATGTGCTAGGTACTAGGGATATAATATATCCTATCCACAAAGAGCCTGGGCTTCCCAGGTGGCTCAGTGGTAAAGAATCCACCTGCAACGCAATGCAGGAGACGTGGGTTTGATCCCTGGGTTGGGTAGATCCCCTGAAGAGGGCACAGCAACCCATTCCAGTATTCTTGCCTGGAGAATCCCATGGATGGAGAAGCCTGGCAGGCTATGGTAAATGGGGTTGCAAGAGTCGGACACGACTTAGCAACTAAACAACAACGACTTCCACAAAGAGCTTACCCCCATATATCAGATGGACACTTGTTTAAATGTTTACACAAACATAGGTAAATTATAACTTTCGTGATGTGATAGAATCTTCTACAGAAATTTGCACAAGAGGATTTTATATTTTCCTGCCTTGCCTTCCTGTCATGAGACCTGTAGGACCTCCCCGGGGAGAACATATGAAGCCTCCCTTACTCCTCTGGGATGGGTTTGGCCATATGACTTGCTCTGAGCAATGGCATGTGAGTGGATGTGACAGAGGTCATATCAGCAGAATCACTGCATGTTTCCACCAGCAATCTTGCTTTTCCCTCTGCTGTGATAACAGTATGTTCCCCATAGAGGCTGGATAATAAGAGTGAGAAATAAATCTATTGTTAAAGAATTCCACTGCTATAATTTGGTCACCTGCTACTGTAACCAAGTCGACTATTCAACAGAAGGTATGAATAGACAGTTCACAGAAGAACATGCACACAGTTCTTACACATTTGAAAAGATGCTCAACCTCACTCCTACTAGAAATGCAAATTAAAACTTCACTGAGATACCACTTCTCAACTACCAGCTTGGAAACAATCAAGAAGCTTGACAATATATTCCATTAGTGAGCCTATAAGGGAAAGGAGTGTGTCAAGGCTGTATATTGTCACCCTGCTTATTTAACTTACATGCAGAATACATCATGCGAAATGCTGGGCTGGATAAAGCACAAGCTGGAATAAAATTGCTGGGAGAAATATCAATAACCTCAGATATGCAGATGACACCACCCTTATGGCAAAAGCGAAGAGGAACTAAAGAGCCTCTTGATGAAAGTGAAAGAGTAGAGTGAAAAAGCTGGCTTAAAACTCAATATTCAAAGAATGAAGATGATGGCATCCGGTCCCATCACTTCATGGCAAACAGATGGGGAAACCATGGAAACAGTGACAGACTTTATTTTCTTGGGCTCCAAAATCACTGCAGATGGTGACTGCAGCCATGAAATTAAAAGATACTCGCTCCTTGGAAGAAAAGCTATGACAAACCTAGACAGCATATTAAAAAGCAGAGACATTACTTTGCCGACAAAGGTCCATCAACTCAAAGCTATAGTTTTTCCAGTAGTCAAGTATGGATGTGACAGTTGGCCCATAAAGAATGCTGAGTGCCGAAGAACTGATGCTTTTGAATTGTGGTATTGGAGAAGATACTTGAGAGTCCCTTGGACTGCAAGGATATCAAACCAGTCATTCCTAAACGAAATGAACTCTGAATATTCATTGGAAGGACTGAAGCTGAAGCTCCAGTACTTTGGTCACCTTATGCAAAGGACTGCCTCATTGGAAAAGAACCTGATGCTGGGAAAGATTGAAGGCAGGAGGAGAAGGGGACAACAGAGGATGAGATGGTTGGATGGCATCACCGACTTGATGGACATAAGTTTGAGCAAGCTCCAGGAGCTGGTGATGGACAGGGACGCCTGGTGTGCTGCAGTCCATGGGGTCACAGAGTCCATGGGGTCACATGACTGAGCGACTGAACTGAACTGAAGGTGCTTTCATACACTGTAGCTGGGAAGGCAAAATGAAATAATCCTATGTAAGACAATTTGGCAACACCTAGCAAAATTACATATGCATTTACTCTTTGATCCAGGAAGTCCAAGTCTAGGAATTATTTCCAAAGACAGACTGGCAAAAAGACAAAATGACATAGGTACAAAGTTATGCATCCAACACCAAAGTCCATCAATAGGAGGTGTTTTGGACTGAACTGTGTCTCCCCAGATTTCTATGCTGAAGCCCTAATCCCAGTGTGTCTGTATTTGGATAGGGTCTATAAGGAGGTAAAAAGGTTAATATGTGAGGTCATAGGGTGGGACCTTAATCCGACAGGACTGCTGTCTTTATAAGAAGAGGAACCGACAAAACGGGACTCTCTCCCTCTCTCTAAGAATACACATGGTGGAAAGGCCATCTAAGACCATGGGAAGAATGGGGCCATCTACAAGCCAGAAAGAGGCTTCACTAGAAACCAACCCTGACAGTACCTGATTGTAGACCTCGGGCCTCCACAACTGAAAAAAAAAAAAAATTGTACTGTTTAAGCCACCCAGTCTGTGTTATTTTGTTACAGCAGTCCTACTAGACTAATGTAGGAGTGTTATGGAGTCTTTAAGTGCCTCCTGTCCATGTCAAAGTCCTAGGAACCCCCAATGTGATGGTATTTGAAGATGAGCCTTTTGGACGTAACTAGGTAGAGATGAAGGTTATAAGCGGGGGAGCCTCATGATGGGATTGGTGCCTTATCAGAAGAGACACTGGAGAGCCTGCTCTCTGTCTCTCCTCCTTCTGAGGGTGCAGAGGTGGCCATCAGCAAACCCACAGAGTCCTCACCAGAACCCGACTGTGCTGGCACTCTGATCTCAGCCTGCCAGCTTTCGGAATGGTGAGAAAATGAACTTCTGCTTTTTAAACCACCCAGTCTATGCTAGTCTGCTATGGCAGTCTGAGCAGGCAGAGAAGACTACCTGAATAAAGTGTGGTTACCCACACAAAGGAGTGCTGTGTCACTGCGAGAATGTAAGTAAGTAAATAAATAAGGAATATCATGATACTCTACTCCAGAGTGATGAAGATTTCAGTCAAGGAAAAAAAACAGCAAAATAAAGAACAGTGTGTACAGTAAGCAGGGATTTTTCTATGGTAAAAGGTAAAATAAAAATATATAAAGTATTTGCTTACATTGAAAATATTAACTGTGGAAGAATAAACCAAAGACTAATAAAAATAGTTACCTTAAAAGGAAGAAAGAAACAGGGTGGAGATGAGAGGGGGACTTTCCTGAATCGCCCCTGTTTTATAGTTTTGACTTTGGAACCATGTAAACTTTTTAAAAATAAGTATAAAAATATATATTAAAATGTTTTACAAAGCAATCCCTGAAAACCAAAAGCAAGATAAAACAAAGATACCTACTGAGTTGGTATTAAAAAAAAAAACACTTCTTTCTAGTGTTCTTGAGAATAGAGGAATGTGACTATAAATTTCCAGGAGGCCACATCCTAAGGACAAAAATCCCTGGTGGTCCAGTGGTTGGGAATCCACGCTCTCACTGCTATGGGTCCAGGTTCAGTCCCTGGCCAGGGAACTAAAGTCCCATAAGCTGCACGGTGTGGCCAAAGGCAAAAAACGAACAAACAAAAAATTAAAAAATAAAACAATTACAAAGACAGCTTTGTTTTTTAGGCAGTCACACTGTTGGTAGCAATATTATCATTTCTACACTGTAAGTATCATACACAGCAGCAAAAAATAGGTAAGTGACGTTAATATCATAAGAAGTCAAAATTTTTTATTTAAATAAAAAAGATACAAATGTAAAGTTGAAAAAGTAAAACCTTGTTCTAAATTTGAACTAAAAACAGCTATATTCATATTTTCTCTCAGGGGAAAAAAAATCACATTTCCTAGCTCTGCTCACTAAAAAGGTCTGGAAACAAAGACCAATCTAGATCAGTAAGGGCCTTGGGTACCCAGAATGTGGTCTCTAAATAGCCACGAAAGAGGACTGGGGCTCCTCTGGAGAAACAGCTGATTCTAAGCCAGGGGTAGAGAACACACAAAATGGGTTTGAAACAACTTGTCGTGTCAAAAACGAGGGAGTCTGCAAAGACTACAGGAGTCATATCAGAAAGAAAGAAGCTGATTTGAAGAGCATCCCACTGGCCAAAGACTGGACAATTTGTTTTAAGAAGAATAAGGCAAAAGATTGAAACACATCAAGTATGTTAGAAATCCATGCATTTATGGTGATTTTTAAACAAGCAAACCTTTAAGGGATGCGAGAGATGTAACTCATTCTACAACAAAGGGAAAGCATCAATACTTCTCCCATCTTTCCCTGAGGAATTAAAATTCTGGGTTGCCAAACAGTTGAAGAGAAAATGTTTTTCTTTAGAGAGGAATTCCATCTGATAATGATGGCAGTAATTACAGACTTAGATTATCACCACGTTATAGTCATGACACAATGAACAGATTTAGGTAGTGATCATCAGTGGTGTCAAACCAATAGGTGAAAGGCTGAGAATTCAATAACGGATGGCCTAGGCCTAACTCCAAAAGAAAGAACTGTACATTCCCTGATGTGGAATTGTACAACACCATCTATAAAGTATTCTTGCCAAGAAGCAGAACCTAAATCTGAGCAAGCCTCTAGATCTAACTGCCAATCAAGAGGGAATTCAGACAACAGAGAAATACCGAATGCAACCACTGGGGCTCCCACAAAACCCAGAAAGTGGAAAACTCTAGGACAAAGCCATCTGTGTTTGTTTTCAACAAGGAATTATAAGGAAAAAAACGATGGTAAGAAATCCATAGCTTAAAAGAAAAGACACCACAAAAGATTGCAATGGATGAGCTTTACTTGGATCTCAAAAAACTACATCAAACATCTGTAAGACAAACAGGAAAATGAGAATACTGAGTGGATATCTGATACTAAGTCATCTCTTATTTGTGACAATGACAAGTTGGTTATATTCACAAAAAGGAGTTGCCATTCTTTAGAGAAATATACTGCTATATTTACAGATGAGCAATATGAGGTCTTGGAATTACTCCAAAATAATCCAGGTGGAGGGTGGGGGGTAGCGAGGAGACAAGATTGGTCATAAATTGGTAACCAATATAGTTGAGGCACTTGAGTGCGAACCCATTAGAGAGTTCCACACTTTTATATGTTTGAAAGTTTGTAAAAGAATAGTCTTAAAAATGACTTAAATGAACTGAAAGATCAACTACTGCGTTCACAGTGATACGTAGAAAATACTCACTATTCGCCTTTAGAGCAGAGTTTCTCAACTTCAGCACTACCTGTATTTTCATATTTTGGTCCTGATAATTCTTTGTTCGGGGGACTGTCCTGAGCATTGCAGGATGTTTAGAAACATCTCTGCCCTCTGCTCACTAAATTCCAGGAGCACACTCACTCCCTCCCCTCTAAGCTGCGACAATCAAAAGATCTCTGGACATTCCAGTTGTGTCCCAGGGACACAACTGCCCTTCAGTAAGAACCACTGCTTTAGAGAATGCTAGAGAAGCAACTCAGAAGTTTGAGAACTAGTAAGGACAGTTGATCCTCATACTCACTGTAGTTATGTCCTATAAAATTGCAAAGAAAACTGAGCAATACTGAACAAGTAGGAAAAACAGGGTTAGGTTCTTCCAAGCTTCTGGTCATGTGTTTTCATCAAATGATCAACACATGACCTTGATTTATGTGAGTTTTTGTCGAAAGACACCATTTGTTGATTCATTAACATTTAACTCGACAGTACTCTAACTCACACCTGAACAAAGCTTATCTAACACATGTATTTTCTCTATATGCCTTCACCACAGCCTTCTCACATTTAAGACTATATAGCACTTCAGTGCTATGCTTGGGGATCACTTTAAATATCAAAGTAATCAACAGAAAGCACAAAAATGCAAAAAACATGGCACTAAACAGACTGTGAAAAGGACTCTGTAGTCTAAGAGCTAGAACATGAAAGCCGTGCATCACCTTGTTCAGCTTCAGCTGGGAACACGAACATCAGGCAACTAAAATTTTTCACTGCTGTGCACATGCTTGTGAATGACCATGAAAGAACCAAAACTGTTGACTCTGGGGTTACAGATAAGTTTCAGTGAGTATGTGAATTTGCAAATATTGAATCCATGAATAATGAGGGTCAACTATATGGGATGAGAAATCAACACTTACCCTGACTTTTTTTTTTTTTTTTTGATAAACTATCTCAGGGTAACCAAATAGCTGATGAGAAAAAGGTTTTCTATATAACAGAGTTTTGGCTAATAAATGCAGGAGGAATGACAGTCACTTCTGTAACTACTGAAATAATGTACATAGCAATCGTCATCAATGGCTGCCAAAACCATTAAGTACAAGGCTGGTGGGTAATTCACCTTATTACGTTTGAATGTGATTATCTACACAGGAGTCAACTGGTGAACTTTTATGGCACTAAAATGAAAGGCGGCCAAAATTTCGTCTCCTATTGTGATAAAATTAGAAGTACAAAACATTACCTGTGACAGATACTTGCCAAAAATATACCTGATTCCAAACAAAGCCTAGAAAAAGGCAATTCTCTGCCACTGCACCCATATTAAGGATATAAAGCATATATTAAGTAGGAGAGAGCCTTTTGTGGGGGTTCCATTAAATGGAGTAAAGGTAGAGTATGCACTAAACCACTTATAAACCCAGAAAATGGAGGAAAAAGGTAAATGCAAAATAAAGGAATGAATGGGGGCACCGGAGACAAAAAAGACAACTGTAATTCTCATTTGCATTGCCCAAATGTCTCCTGTTTTCAGACAACACTCCTTTTAAATACAGAGACCTTTTCCAAAATGATCATGAAAAAGAAAACAACAACAGTAAAACCAAGAAACTGCAAACAGATAATTTGGGATGGAGTAGAGCTGAGATGCAAAGAGAGGAGAATTACATAAAATATTATATATAACTTCTTCCCGAGCAAAACATCTTCACAGATTGATTATGTTAAGGAAAAACATACAAGTACAAAGAAAAACTACACAAGCCCTATAAAACATTTAAAATGTATTAGTGCAGAAGTATATTTTGGCTGAAATACTGAAAAGAATGCAGCAGACCCTAAATAAAACTGTTAGTTGTGATTACCTTGCATGAGGGTAGGCGCCTGCAGCATCTGCTTGTAGTAGGAGTAATATAGTCCACATTCCGTTCTGAATGAGATTTCTCGCTCCACTTCCTGAAATAAAGTGAGGTTTACATGACCTAGTTTTGTCTAAACATCTACTGTCACTGGAGAAACAGGACACAGAACTAAAACTTAAAAAAAAAAAAAACTTCGGACAAAATAGTCTTAAGAAATCTTGGCAAATAAAAACAATGGAAGGCTTGATACATGCATGTGTATGTATAGCTGAGTCCCTTTGCTAGTTCTCCTGAAACGATCACAACATTGTCTATTACTCAGCTATACCCCAACAGAAAACAATGGAAGGCTTGATGCATAATATGTACACGTATGGCTGAGTCCCTTTGCTGTTCATCTGAAACTCACAACACTGTTAACCAGCTATACCCTAAAATAAAACCAAAAGTTAAAAAAACATAAACTACAAGGACATACTGTATAAGACAGGGAATATAGCCTACATTTTGTATAAATGGAATACAACCTTTAAAAATTGTGAATCACTATATTGTATACCTGTAACTTATGTAATACTATATATCAATTATTAATATGTTTCAATAAACAAATAAGCAACAGAAGGCTAATAATTATTGAAGCTGGGTATATATTATAGGGGTTGATTTTACTATTCTATTTTTGTGGCTGTTTAAAATTTTTTCTAACAAATCATTTTTAACAAAGGAGAAAACTAGTTCCATTTAAGTTAATGTTCTGGAGTTAATGTTTTTTTATTTCATACAAACTAAAACCTTAAAAAAACACCATTCTTATGTACTATTAGTTAGAAACAAAAAAGGGACAGTAGAAAAAGTCTCTCAAATAAAAAGAACTACAATTGCATTAGATACTTGCCTAAAAGCTAATAGTATTATATAAGATTTTTTTTCTTATATTTTCTTATATATAAAAATATTATTTTTCAAATAATAATAAACATTTCATTAAAAGAACCATTCATGCTATTTATCTTCAGATCTGGAAATTATGCAATGTATTTCCTTTTGCCCTTAAGATACTTTTTAAGAAATATTTCTCCTACCTTTTAAAAAAGTATTACAAATCAATTCAAAAATAGAGCACTGAAGAAATACTCAATTTTCAAAGAGTGTGTAAACATTCACTTAGTGATACTGAAACAAACTGTTATGTTTTATTATTATTAACTCTTCTTTTTTAAAAGGCCAGGAGATACAGGGTAGCAAACCTTCTTATATACTGAGTTGCCTTTCATAGAAAACAAATTTATCCTTGGGAAATCAAACACGAAATCAAACATTTCAGGCCCATGAGGTTCTGAAATGTAACTTCATGAGCACACTTGCTTTATAAAAAGGACAGAAAATGATACAGCTCTTCTAGTTTTTACATTTGCTACTGATTTGTGCCCTTTCTTTTATAGCTACAAAGTTCTATCTTAGCAGTCACATGAATCCATTCACCTTCAATCTTTAGGCAAAACCTGCTCCATTGATTTTGATAACATATAACTAAATTGTATCACTTGTTCCTAAAATGTTCAACCTCCTCCTTGATCAAGTAACCAAGAAGCTAGGAATTGACATTAAGCAAATATTAGCTTTTGTCCATACAAATTAAAACAAACCAAACCATTAAGTATATTACATTCCTTTCCTTCTCTCCTACTGTCTTAAAGTGTTCAAAGTATGGCTGCCTTCAGTGGAATATTCTAACATCAAACTCACATGCCCAAACCAAACTGGAGAACCAAACCAGCCATTCACATGTAGGGGGCTCCGAATCCAACACACTTTAAGAAATAAAAGGAGAGTGACTTCATAAAGATGAGGAAAAAGAAAAAACAAAACAAACAAAAAAAAAAACCACTGCTCAAAGTACTAAAAGTAGAAAGCCACTTTTGTGCCCCATCCTCTCTCTCTCTAAAATACCCAGAATGTGTAAAGAACAGAGGGGATCCTGATTAGTAAAAATGCATTTCGACATGATTAATTGGAAATCTTGGCACCAGCTGTATAGAACCAAATGCTGTACTTTATTAGACAGACACTTGCAAGTTTTACATCTGCTTCATGCTAGGAGAACATCTGCTTTACTCATTCAAACACTTTTCCGGTTTTTATACAGCAATTTATACTTTGCCTGGTGGACAGTGCCAATGAGAATGTACACTAATAGAAGTTACCCTCCGAAGATTCTAAAATGAACAAATATAATACTTCATATTTTAATCTGCACAAGTTCCACAGGGGAAGAAGCACTGTTGAAAGAATAAGAAAACATGGTCTCTGAAGATAATGACAGAAAAAAGGAGAAAGACAAAAGATTGCATTTTTAAGAAACCGTACAGCTAAAACCATGTAAGTAGTAGTTTATATGGTAATTTAACAGAAGTATTAAAAAGAAACAGGCATCAAGAAAAAAAAAATGACAGCTCACAATTAATGATACGCATACCCTAGCAACAAACAAAAGGTAACAAGCCCTTTCAGACAAATGACACCACATTTGCAAAGGAACCATATCATTAGCTTTTAAAAATCTCATGTAAATAACTTTTGTTTATAAAAATTGCCCCCCAAATAACTAGGCAACTGGTAGCGGAGAAGCCATTGAAAAACTAACATTAAAGATCACATTAACGCTAAAGATTACATTAAAGATAAATGTAACCTTTCAGAATTCAGTTAACAAATCATCTCACCAAGAAACAGTAGCTCACGATAAGACAGCTGTTCTTAAAGTTCTGTACAGGGAATCATGCCCTCAGCAAACATATTTATGGCACATACATGGTTTATTGTCTGGTTAAATTCATGTCCATCTGTTAGAATGGGATGATGCTTGCCCTAGAGTTGATTATAGCAGTGACATGTGACAGTTGCCAAGCAGTGTTTGTGAGTAGTTTAGACTAGCTGAAGTGACAGTACTTCCACTGGGCTCAGTTGAAGCAATTATTATCCCTCGTTCTACCAGTTACCACTGTGCAAATTAACCCTACTTGGTTTAAAGACTCCTTGCTTTGCAGGAGTATTCAATGGGGAAATGTGCAAATTCTACGGTATCAAATAAATAAGAAAAAAATGTTAGCATAAGGTAAAAAGACTTAAAAAAGTGACTTTAGTACTTTTAGCCAAATGAGAATTACCTATTCTTATCACTGAACATTCATTTGCTGAGGAAATAAAAGGTGTTAAGATTTCAGTCCTTGACCCCAAGCAGTTTGAGTTTTAGTGAGAAAGAACAATGCATTTTTTAAAAAGGGAAGTAACTATTCAAGGCAAGACTGGTATCAATAGAAAGGAATGACTATTCTTTGCCTATTCAACTAGCCTCCCAGACGTCAGAGGTGGTCCAGTGGCTAAGACTCCGAGATCCCAGGTTGCAGGCGCCTAGGTTGTATCCGTGTCAGGAACTAGATCACACATGACACGACTGAAGAGTGTGCATGCTGCAACTAAAAAAGAAAAAAAAGATCCTGCATGCCACAACAAAGACTGAAGATCCCGCGTGCCGTAACTGAGACCCTGTGCAGTTAAATAAATAAATAAAAATAAATATTAAAAAAAAAAAACAAACCCAAAACTTAGTCTGCCCACCAGATTCGGTGCTTCTGATTGGTATCTTTTTAATCCAATTGATCCTCCCCATTCACTCATTCATTCATCCATCCATCCATTCATTCATTCATTCAACAAATGCCTACTAACCACCAACAATTTATAAGCAATCTTTTGCCGAGAGACTGAGCAGGGAACAAAAGAGGCACAATCTCTGCCTTCATGGAATTTATAATCCAGAGCAGGAGGAGAAGAGAATAAACCAGTAAAACATAAAAGGCAAAGCAGAGAAGAGGGACAGGAAGGGAAGGGGGTGGTACTGTGAGCCTGGAGGTGGGCAGTGAAGGTCTCTCTGATGAAATGACGCTGACCAGAGGCTGGAAGAGGTGAGGCAGTGGGGCCCGTGGAGGCCTGAGGGGAGAGCTGAACAGTCAGAACAGGCTGCAGGCACCCTGGAGATCACGGAGACAGGGTGGTCTGAGCAGAAGGAACAAGGGAGGGGAGTCGTGTCAGAGAGGCTGAAGGGGCAGAAACAGAATCTGAGGTGTAAGGAGGGGCCGGGGGCTGCAGGCACACGGACTCTGGGCTTGTGCCCTGAGCTAGAAGGTGGGTGTGTAGGGAGGTGTGAGGTAGGAGTTTGGTTTCGGGCATGCTGAGTTTGAGGGTGAAGGGTTTCGAGCAGAGACATACACTGCCAAACATCTAAAAGAATCTCACTGGCTGTTAGGCTCAGGATAGACTCCACAGGGAATCCAGGAAGGGAGCTGCTGAAGTAATCCTCGCAGACACAAAGGCGGAGGTTGTGAATGGTGATCCGATTCTAGATACTATCAAAAGAAAACTGAGAGACTTCCCTGGCGGTCCAGTGGTTAAAACGCCATGCTTCCCAACCTAGATGTCCATGGGCAGACGAATGGATAAGGAAGCTGTGTGTGGTACATATATACGATGCAATATTACTCAGCTATAAAAAAGAATGCATTTGAGTCAGTTCTAATAAGGTGGATGAAACTGGAGCCTACTATACAGAGTGAAGTCAGTCAGAAAGAGAAACATTAATACAGTATATTAACACGTACATATGGAATTTAGGAAGATGGTAACAACCCTATATGCAAGGCAGCAAAAGAGACAGATGTAGAGAACAGACTTTTGGATTCTGTGGGAGAAGGTGAGGGTAGGATGATTTGAGAGAATTGCATTGAAACATGTATACCATATGTAAAATAGATGACCAGTGCAAGATTGATGCGAGGCAGGGTACTCAAAGCCACTGCTCTGGGACAACCCAGAGGGATGGGGTGGGGAGGGAGGTTGGTGGTGGGGTTTCAAGACGAGGAAACACATGTGCACCCGTGGCTGATTCAAGCTGATGTATGGCAAAATCCACCACAATATTGTAAAGAAATTATCTTCCAAAAAAAAAAAAGACTCCATGCTTCCAATGCAGGGCAGGGTGGGTTCAATTCCTGGTGGGGACACTAAGATCCTGCATGCTGCACAGCGCAGCCA